GCGGGGGGGCATATTGGGCAGGAGAGGGGCAAATTAGGGTGGTGTTTTTGTCTTTTTTGAGGTTTTTCAAAGCAAAACCCCCTTTATGTAGGGCCGGGGAGCCGCACAACCCCCTGCCAGGGGCGCTTAATTTTGTTTTCACCCAGCGGGGGTGCTCATGCGCTCAAGGCACTCAAACGTACACAGAGCTTGCATGGAGGGTCGCATGATTGAATGTCCTTGGCATAGTGCTCCCCCTTTCGTGTATAGCCTTCAGCAAGCCCCGTGAGCACTCTACTCAACTCTACAGCAATGATGTATTGCGGTCTGCCTTCAAAGACTCACTCACCAACTTCTGCGGATGGCATTTTGTGACCTCGTTTTTTATGCTACCTCTGGACTCTCCCCGTTTGCACATATATCATATTGCAAGCCAACCCCTCCCAGCCCTGCTCTCCTCCAAACCCTTGCTCTCTGTGCATAGCATGTTACCATGGCATTCCTTGTTCTCTCTCCCTGAATCCCTTTTCAGTGGATAGTGTCGTGCAAAACCCCTAGACATCCCTTTCCCTCCCCCTCACCTCACTGCCAACTCCGATGCTTCCTCTCTTCAATATTCCTGCCCTCCTCCCCCTCGAGCCTCGGGGTGGTGTTATATCGCTTTCACGGGCCAACATTGCTTTGCATGGAATGAAGAATGCTTTGAATGAGTGGCTCGAAGTGGCAGACGCTTTGCATCTGATCTTCGCCAGCACTCGCAAGAGCATCTATACAGACGTGTGAAATGTTGCACAGATAGGAACTTGCAACCCTCTTCAGCCTATCCGATAGTCCCCAAATTCTGTGGATGGCGTGTTGTGATTGCTATGGCACAGCCGTCTGCCCCCTCCTGGCTTTTCATGGACAGAATTTTGGCACCCTCCTTGACACTCTTCCTTCAGCTCCTTATGTGCATAGCATCTTGTGTCACCTCCACCATCCCCTTCCTGTCCCTCCTAGCATTCCTCCTTGCCGACCCTCTTTTATGGATAGCTACTTGTGACCCCCTTGTGTCGACAGCTTTTGTGAAACCCCCTCAAGCGTTTGTCAAACCTCCCTCAAAGACGGCGCATTCCCGCTTCTGGGATTGTATCTCGCAATGCCCTCAGTACTCCAGCCACCTTTCCTCATCAGATGGTTATAGACAGACCGATCTGCACCCTGCCGAACATCCATTGCAAAATACTGAGAGCCAAGCCATCTTCTTGTTTCATGTTGAAGTTTCTCTAACGCAATTTGTATACTTGTGTGTGTTGCAGGTGCATGCAGAGCCACTAGCGGACCTACTGTTTACGAAGGAGGCAATTATTACTGCCTGTCAAGAAGGGCATGTAAAAGTCTGGCAAAGACCTGGAATAGCTCCAGCTGAAGGAGTTCCAGGAGCTGGAAATGCCAGTCATGCGAATGGGGACATTGCAGGGGGGACAAAAATCAGAGAGGTAAGAGAGAGTGAGAGAGAGCGGCGACATTTGTACGGTGGCAACTAACAGGTGTGAATGCGGTTCAGTGAACTTATGGCCTGTTTACAAGCTTGGTCTATGTCCTTTTGACAGATGGGCAATCCAGGTCCACGGTAGTTGATGTGAGAGATTCCTGTCTGTGTGAGAGGACCGACACGGGGGAGATGGCAGCAGCATTGTGAGAGGTCTAGGTGAGGAGCTATCTTTAGTTTTCTCTGTGATGTCTGGAAGCTTGTATGTTCTAACAGTAAGCACGCTATTGAGGTGTAGGAGGCGTGAAGGGTATGTGTGTAGGGTGCAGGGGAGCAGTTAGGCAGAGAAGAGAGAGAGAGAGAGAGAGAGATGATTCGAACACTGACCAGCTCACACTGAGGATGGCGAGGAAAGGGCTAAGCAGGCGGATCCTCAAAACAGGAATGAAAGTTGTGGGCCATCACCGGAACTGGATCACCCTGTTGCAGGTGATCAGTTTGTCACAATTGTGCAGGCAAGGAGAGGAGATGTGTCTGATGAGAGGCTTATAGTCAGTTGGGGTTATGGTATTATCCTCTGGAGTTGCTTTTTCTTTGTTGGTTGGGCCATAGACTCGAGGAGGGGTTTGCCATAATGATTTGTGGAGGAGGAGGAGCAGCAGCGTAGTAGTAGGTCAGCTGAAACAGGTTCATTACCTGTGCATGGTTACTGTAGAACAGGTATGAGGAGGGGAGTAGGTCTGTGTATATTGAGGTGCTACGGAGCCCCCCAGAATTTGCCATGCGAGGAATAATCGAAGTGTCAGGCTGAACTCAAAGGATATTGCACTCATGCGTCACATCCCCCTTCATCTTTTCCGTTGCTGTCCTTCAATTTTTGGTTCTTCTTTGGTCGTCTCCTTTTGCAGTGAAGGCAGTCAACTGTTGTACAGGAAAGTCCTATGATTTTTATGCATGTTCAGTTAGCAGTGGCAGCACAAAAGATTGGATGTAGGGGGAATTGAATGTTAAGAGGAGGAGGAGGAGGAGGAGTAGGAGAAGGAGAGGAAGGGTTGTATGGCATCAGGGGGACAAAGTTTTTCAAGGGTCGATTTGGGGGGCGTGGGCAGTGACTTGTAGCGGGGAGGGGAGAGTTGGTGGGGTGGGGGATTGTCGGGGGAGGCAAGGTTTGAAGGCAGGCTGTAGCTTTGGTAGTGTAGGGGAGGGGAGAAATGTGAAGGAAGGGCGAAGGCACAGATGGCCTCATGCGATGATGGGTCGAGGGGGAATTGAGTGTTGAGAGGAGAAGAAGGAAAAGAGGTTAGATGTTGAGAATGCGCACAATGGGTGGTATCGCATAACAGAATGAAGATGGTCAAAGGTATTGTGAATGAATAGGAGGGGAAAAGGGGGACCATCAAGGGTATTGTGAATGAATAGGAATGGAACAGGGGGACCATGGGGGGTAGGGGAGAGGACAGAAGTATGAGGAAAGGCCGTAGCCTAGTTTGCGGCGGGGGGGGGGGGGGGGGGGGGGGGTGTAGGGGAGAGTGGAGAAGTATGAAGAAAGGACATAGCCAGATGCAAAGGAGGAGAGAGGAGCAAGGAGCTATGGAGGTGTGAGAAGCGAGGAGGAAGGAATCTACCGTGAGTTGGGGAGGGCAGTGGAGTGGGGGGATGATGTCAATTTATCATCTTCACACACACACACACACACACACACACACACACACACACACAGAGAGAGAGGGCAGTGTAGTGGGTCCAGTCTAGGGGAGAGGGAAGAACTGTGAAGAAAGGACAGCCAGATGCAGAAAGAGGAGTGAGGGGGGTAATGAGCTATGGAGGTGTGAGAAGCGAGGAAGAATCCACCGTCAGCAGGAGAGGGGAGTGGAGTGGGGGGATGATGTCAATTTATCGTCT